TAATGCTTCAAAATGCAAATTGAGGGGCCTGGGGGTGTGGCTCAGTGGTGAAGTGCTTGCATAGCACTTGTGAGGCACTGGGTTCATTCTCAGCATCACATAAAAATAAATACATAAAATAAAGGTATTGTGCCCATCTACAACTAAAAAWTTTTTTAAAAATGCAAATAAAGGATCTAGAAAGCTGTGAAAACCTTTCATGTCAGCTTTGTCCTACAGTTGGCTTTAGCATCCCATCTGGGTTTTCGTTGCACCAGTTCCTTCATTTCTTGGTGACTGTCCCATTGCACTGTGGTTATTGRTTTCCTTGCATTTTTCACCAGATTGTAAACTCCATGATGACAAGGATGTTGGGTTATTCTCTCTATCCCTAGTGTCTGGCACATATAATTTTTTATTRAATCTAAAATTCTRTTGATTGTAAGGTGTACCTTATTGTCATAAGAAGAAACACTATCCATTATAATTGTAAAAATGCCATTGAGTTTAAGAAAAATCATATTTCAGAGATGTTAAAATGCAAAAAAAATTGTTTTAGAATCAAGGGAATAGGAGTGTAGGTGCTCTTCTTTCAAAACAGTTCATTGATGATGGACTCTCAATGGATATGTCTGTAATTCTCTTGGCCTGTTCCTCATAGTCTCGGGTGGATACTGCAGCTCCTAAGCCTCCCAATATACACCAGCATTCCAGGCAAGAGGGAAAGGTTGGGTAGGCTAAGGTTCTCCTTTTGTTAGGAAGGAATATTATTCTTTGGAGGCATGAGGCAGATATCCCCTGTTTTTTGGTAGTTAGATTTGGTCACATGCTTCCCCAGCTATGAGTTTGAGAAAGTTAAACCAGGCAAAAGGAGTAGAACTGCTATGATTGGCGTATTAGATCACTTTCTTAAATTTGTTCCCAGGTAGAGTCCATTGCTGTCGAACTGTAAAATGCTAGGATTCTGATTAGATGGCTGCTGGGTTGGTGAGCTATCGCGTCACCTATAGGAAGCTTCTAATTATGACGTTAGGGATATTTCTTATATGTTTGCAAAGATAGTGCTATTTCACATTAACAATGAAGTATAGGTGGGCTGGGAATGTAGGTCATTGGTATAGTGTACTTAGTGTTCGTGAAGCCTAGGTTTCCATCCCCAGCACCRCAGGGGGAAGAAAAACAGAATTGTTTTACTGTCAAGATTGATTTTAACAAGTCATTAACTATAAGTTCTTATAGTTTGATACTTAGTTAAGCTGTTGTCCCATATGTTATGGGAAATAGGATATTTTTGGAACTAAAGCTTTACCACTGTTTATATGCTGAATTAACTGCTTCATTATACGTATCTTGGGAAACCAATATTGGGGAATTAAAAATATTCACTCTGAATTTTCCAATAGTCTCTTTTTTTTTGGGGGGGGGAGGGTACCAGGGCACTCTGGGGTACTCAACCACTGAGTTATATCCTTGGCTTTTTTTTTGTATTTTACTTAGAGACATTGTCTTATTGAGTTGCTTAGCACCTCACTGTTGCCGAGGCTGGCTTTGAGCTTGCGATCCTCCTGCCTCAG